TGGTGAACATCCCTGTAGAAGCAAGTGAGCCAGAGTGGCTTGCATATGGTGTATAGAAAAATAGGGGTGACATCAGCAAGTTTGCTCCGTGAAAAAGGTATTACTCTCCCATCCAGCCATTCTAGCAGTATGTGCAGTGATGAGGTTTTTTTGTACAGTTTGGCATGCTTCCACCAATAGAAAGTCATGTTCTGATTGGTCGAACTGGAGGAGGCAATTTACCTGTGTAGCCGAGAATAAAAGCAAAGAATGCTGATTGGTTGGTGAACCGCAGTGTTGGCCTGATAAAAGAGGGCTGGAGCAGTGAAAAGAGAGAAAAACGACGGCTATACATAGTGACGTGTTCAGAAAGCGAGGACGGTGAATTAAACCAGTGATATTTTGATTTGTACAAGTGACGTTGCAGCAATACAAACTTATTTAAACTACTCAAACATGGAATCATATTAGACCTCATCAGGTGTATGACAAGAAACAAACAAGAGGCCCAAACTATTTAATCTCTTCCTGCACATATACAAATATAGATTCTATCTCGTCAGCAGCAGCACCTGCTCACATCAGGATCGTCATCTCCTCTCCTTATTCCTTTTCTCCCCTCTGGCAGTGGTGACGGAGATGGATGTGAAGGCCCAGCCTACGCCTGAAGAATTGAGCAGGAGTCCCAGATGAGCTGGGCCCTCCTGACAGCACATCCCAGATCCTCTTCATGTTGACAGTTGGACTCAAAAGTCTCAGTCTCCTCTCGGAGCGTCCTATGCTGGGAAAGCCATTTTGCAGCAACGGTTTCAGTGTTAATGTTGGCCTGTGCCAGTGATGTTTTTCATACAGTATCATAAATGAATCTACTAATAGAAAACATCATTCCTGTTTTCCCTCCCAAGACCAGTGTATTGGTGATGGGTGGGGGCTATGCTGATGATATAGGTATTCATACTTGGGATAAGAATGATCTTGAACAAAAAAAAAAAAAATTAATATTCTTTATCTTGTATTCCAAGAAGTGGGACTCAAAATAGACCTTTTTAAAACAAGAGATGATCTGGAATTGGAATCCATTATAAAAATTCAGGATATGGCATTAATAAATAGTAAACACTTCATGTACCTTTGGTATATAGATCTTAATTTAATATAAATATTATAAATATACTTCCCCATATCTAGTGTGACAGACAATACACTGCCTTGAGATATACCCATTTCTTGTTCTTTCCCACCCTAACATTAAATCTTTTATCTTGTAGAAAGTTTTTTTTTTATAAATATAGGCATTCTACCTTCTAGACCAAGGTTTTTAAGGTCTCTTACTATGTCGTACTTCCACATTGTGTCATATGCCTTTTCAAGATTGAAAAAAACCTGCCACTAGATGTTCTTTTTTAATAGAAGACTCTCTGATAAATGTTTCCAAACGGGTCAGATGATCTATAGGGCTTTTTCAGCTTCTAAAACCAGACTGATATTCCGTTATCAATTTATTGCTTCCAAGGTACCAAATCAATCTGGCATTGATCATTCTCTCTAGTGTTTTGCACACACAACTGCTAAGAGTAATGGGTCTGTAGTTTCTGCATTTGTATTATCTTTTAAATGTTTCGGTTTCAGTATAACAGTGGTTTGTTTCCATATTTTAGAGATGTCATCACTTATCCATATATTATTGTAGATTTGTAGGAGGTAATTTATTGAGGTTTCAGGTAGTTCTTTTAAGAATTAATAGTGAATTTTATCTGGTCTAACTGCAGTATTGTGGGCCTTGTTGAGGAATTCCTTTAGTTCTGTTGTAGAGTAAAGTTGATTGTAGCTTTCAGTATTTTTGTTTTGAAATTTGATTTTTTCTTTTTCTGCTTTTGTTTTGATGATTTGAAAAATTTGCTTTGTTTTTTTGCGGATGAATTTTGCGAGAAAGTTTTGGCTAGATGATTTGCTATATCTTCTGATTATTGTGAATAAGATGTTTGGTGGGAGTATTGCTATCTTTGCCAGTTATTATTCGAATCAACTCCCATACTTTTTTTGGTTTTGTGTTATTATTTATTTTAGCAACGTAATTTTGCCATGTATTTCATTTGGAGTCCTTGATGATTTTTCGGGCTTTGGCTCTGCTGTTTTTATAAATGTTTAAGTTTTCTCTTGTTGGATTTATTTTAAATTTCTTTAATGCAGCTCTGCATAATCTCACAACTTTTTGGTATTCCTCATTGAACCATGGCCTATTGTATTTTGAAGAGATGGAGCTTTTTGGTATGTCTTTCAGCTATATTTAACAGTTTGTTAGCAAAGTATAGAATGTCTTCCTCTTTGTTTTTATTGGCTTCTGGGATTAGTTCAGTAAGGCATCCCAATTAGCCTTTTTCAGATTCCAACTCTTCCAGTTCTTTTATTTAATATATTGGTCTTGTTTTCCAATAGAATCGGAAAGTGGTCACTTCCACATGTGCCATCATGTACTTTCCAGTCATAAAATAAAAAAACGATTACAGTCACATATTGATAGGTCCATAGCAGATTATTTGCCTGTTGCTGGATGCAGATATGTACCTGATCTATTATTGTACATGCACAACTGATGTTTATTTAATAGTGACTATTATTTTGCCCTTTTTGCCTGTCTTCTTACTTTCCCATACCTCATTGTGGCTATTGAAGTCTCTCATTATAATGAAAGGTCTTGGTAATTGTTCTATCAAATTATCTAGCTTCAATTCTTTGAGTTGTTTGCTTGGAGGAATGTATAATGAACACACTGTTATTGTTTTGTGGAGGGTTGCTGATATAATGACAGCTTGCAGATTTGTATTTAGTATGATTTCGCTGTGTGGAATATTATTATTAATGATTACTGATGATCCATCACAAGGTCTATCAGTGTGGTGTTTTAGCATGAGTGGTGATTTTTAATGTTGATGGTATTGTTGCTTTTGAGGTGAGTCTCTTGAAGGTACATGATTGCTGGGCAGTATTTATTTATAAGCAGCAACAATTCGGAATAATTGACCCTTGATCCTCTGATAATTGGATTATATTTTGTTCATTTCGTTTTAATTTTGAGATTTGTGAGATTTTTTTTTTTTCTTTTTTTTTGAGGTTTGCTTGTTTGTGGAGTTTTATTTTCAATCTCCATTTCCCAAATTTGTTTAATGTGCTTATTGGGGTGGGTTAATTTTTTTAATAGTGTTTTGTTTTTTAATAGAAATATCTTTTATTTTATTTTCAATTATGTCTTTGTTAATATCTGGAGGTCAGATCAGTGATCTTTGTCGCTTTTCATTTGTGGATTCAGTCATCTTAGAATTTTCTATCGGCATTTCTACATTGGTATCTTTATTTAATTTTGTTTTCGTAAAAGACTCAGTTTTATTTCTGTTGAATACATTCTTTTAAGATTTTCTTGGAATGTTGGCCATTCATTTGTATTCAAATTTATTAATTTTTCTATAAGTTTTTTATACTTATCTATTGGAGTGATGCCCTGGGTTTTTTTATTTACCTTTTGTACTATATTAGCATAGGTTTTCATTCCCATATAGCTTTCAACAATTTTTCTGGCTTCTAGGAAAGGTATAATTTTCATGTGCTTTACATACATTATTTCCTTTCCTCTCTTGTAGATATCACAGGTCCTTGAAAAGGCAGGATGTTCTTCATAGCAGTTAGTGCATTTCACATTGCTGCATTCATTCTCTGTGTGATTTGGATCACATTCTCCACACTTTCCACACACTTGGCATCCTCTGCAAATGTCTTTGTGATGTCCAAATATTTGAAGCACCGCAGGGGAGCTGGTATAAATTGCTCTACCCTTTCTATAGTGTAGCCAATCCTGATTTCTTTTGGTATTACAGGTTTTTCAAACATTACTATATATGTATGAGTCTCTATAATATCATGGTTTCTTCGAATAGATATTCTCTTATATTCCTTTCTATTTTTTTAATGCACTTTCAATTTCTTTTTGTGTTACTAACGAAAGTTCACAGCTTCTTATAACACCTTTTGAAGTGTTTAATTTTTCATGCAGATACGCTCTACATTTGATGTTGTGAAATTTATCCATTTTGAGTAAATTTTTCACGTTTTCTTGTTTCAACTTCCACTAGCAAGTTACCATTTTAAAGTTTTTATTATATTTTTTGGATTCAACATACTTGATATGATTTTCTCTATCAAGAAAGGTGATAACTTATCCAATTTGATTTTCTCTAATGATTCAATAATAATGAATCTTGAATAATCTGTTTCAATTTCCGAGTCAGAATCTGATAAATATCTTTTGGATTTTTTGAAGGAAGAAGCCATAATAAGTATATATTTTTCATTGGTCCTATGTTCTACCACCCACCACAGAGTCCAACTTGCATTGGGAATGAACCAAGGGGGAAACCTTTCGTCTTGGCTGAGATGGGGATACAATAGCAGTATACTCATGTCAAGAGCAAGATTCAGGGCCTCTGCCAAATTCTGGTTTTTATTACACAACAATCTAACAGGGTCAAAAAGTCTTTTCCTCTTCACACAACTGGCCCTTAGCCCCTGCCTTCTAACACATATAAGATAAACGGTTGGGGGGTTATTCCGCAGATAGTATGTTGAGGAGAAAAGAAAGATACATGTGCTAGGGCATGATGGGACCAGCCGACTGATTGAATTGGGGTCTATCCAACCGCACGTCAGACCAAGTAAAGACCAAAGCGGTGTGTTGCAAGCCACTGACCACTCTGTCACTGTATCAATGACTGCTCAACCACCAGGATTCCATCCTATCACCTTACAGGTCACCACCCACGGCCAACAGGTGGCCCCATTTGGGGGGGGGGAGGCTTACCTCTCTGTAGAGGTGCAGTTGGCATATTCTACAGCCCCAGCTGACAGGGCCAATGAAAAGAATTGTACAATTTCATACTGAATTGTTCATATAGAGAGACGAACAGCATTTATTATGGATTTTTTTCATGTAAGTTTTTGCTAAAGTTCTTTCTTTGTTTTCTTCTTTTCAGACAGTGGATCAAAACCAATGAATGCATAAACAATTGCCTATTCTTATTATTACTTTAATAACATGGACAGAATGATGCAAGAACAGGTTCACCTAAACATGGTAAAGTCAATAATTCTTCTCCAAATTCTACTGTTATCAGCTCAAGCACAGAGGTTCAAGTTAAAATTCTAGAGAAAGATCAACTGATTCTAAAGAATTTCCTCTGTAGTTGTTCACTTGATACTGAATTTTGTCAACTGAATCCAGGCAATAGCACTGGTGATCAACTCTAATAGTGTCTGATCTTCTCAAGAACAGTTTTAACAAAAAGTATATGCAAAGTAAAAACAAACAATATGCAAATGAATAAATCTGAAAATATGCAAGCTAATAATAATCAAAATAACTAAATGAATCTTTCAAGCTTTGATCAAAAGAACACAATGCAAAGCAAACCCTTTTATGAATGATCACAAAGTGATCCACTATTTGAAAATATGACTAAGAATTCAGTTCTACTCAAGATAGTGTCAGCCAAAATAAGTAAAAATATGGAAGCAGATAAGAATCAATATCTGTCCAAATATAGAGACTATAATACAACTAACCAGTTTCTGCTTGAGAAACCTTCAAGTGGTCTACTGTTATATGATGAAACTTCCATACAATGAAAAAAATAATGAAACAAAAATTAATATTATTAAAATCTACAAAGACAAAAAGAGGTTTATATTTGTGCTGAATACAGTGTTACTGCTAATGAATCAATGGTTGGAATATTTTGCAATTTCAAATTTACTGTGTGCTTGACAAAGAACATGGACAACATTATTTGAGAAATATCAAAAATTCAAGATTGTGGAAATCCATTTGTATGGGGTAAATATTTTTTAATATATATTTTTTTAAAACTGAAGAAAATCACATTACCACTGACCAAATATTTTCAACAAAAATTTCTATGACCAATAGGGTTGCCAACTGTCTTTTATTAAAAAACAATGTTATTTCCAATTATATTATGTATTTACAGTAATTAAATTAAAAATCACTATTTACATATTTTTTCTTCCTATCCTTTATTAAGAAAATTAATGACAAAGTGGAAAAAAGTTTTTGTGTGATGCATTTCATCCTTTAGGATTTTATCGGACTAAAATGGTGTTTACATTGATGTGCATGAATTTATTATAACTTGACAAAGTTGGCAAGCCTAATGACTAATTTGAATCCAATGGTGATGTAAAGAAATTTATTATACTAAATACAATACAAAGTAATGCAGAAAAAACAGCCAACAGGAACTTTCTAAATGGGATGCAAATAATGACAAAACTTTTAATTCCAACAATTTTTTTAAGTTCTAAAAATATACAAACATTTAGTATATAAAATTATGCAGAAGACTCGGTGGAAATTAAAAAAGATATTAACAACCTAAAAACTAGTCACTTTATTTCTCCTATAAGAGAATCTATATATTTGGACAAAATCAATTCTATTGAACATATTTGGAGCAAGTGTGGCACAATAGGATTTTTCACTTTTACAAGTGTTTAACAGAAATCATTAGAAAAATGAATCAGAGTATATAGATTAAAATACTTTCTGGGCAACTCGACTGAATCCCATGAATGTGGAAAACTTAGATATCGATGAAAAGTTTACTGACCACAAGACTTTGGACTTTAATTAATAACATGTTTTATCTGATATCCTTAAACATCAACGGAAATAATTTTTTAGTCCTCCATTATGAAAATAAAATGTAGATAATTTTTTTTTTGTTTGTTTTATTAGATAAAGATAAATCAAATAATTTTTTTATGTGTTAGGTAGTCATAAGATGCAACCCAGAACCATTTGATTGAGATTTGAAAGAGATATGCTCTTTTGTTTGGAATGTTTGTTGAAGTGGCCTAAAGGCATTGAAGGGAGAGTGATGATATGATCTCTTTTTACTCAGAAATGTGTTCTGAAGCCAATGAGAATCAGCACCCCTTGTAGAAATTCATTATATTTTTTTACTGTTCTGCCTCTGACAAAATCCAGCAGAATATGAGTCACGTGCTTCCTACCCACATTAAGTCATCAAGCGTATTTGCTTTCCTAATAGGTTTGTTGTTAAGAAAGATCACCATTATGTTTGCATGTGGATCTGCTAGATTTAGGGAATTGGTAAATAGTCACATATCTTCCTCAAATACTTTGACACTTGAAGAATTATTTGTGTTTAATAAATCAATTCCTAATTTAAAAATAGCTGCCTTTGCTTTTTCTTCACTAAGAATCCAGTCTTCTATTTTTTCATCCCAACAAAGGCAATAAAGCCACAAAGGATTATGGAGTGTGTGAGAATGAGAAAACATTATTAAGGAGGGAAAACAATAATTAAGAAGACAAAAGATAGCATTGCATTGAAATTTTTGAAGATCAAAGTTGACTGGAAAGCAAAAAGCCAGAAGACAGTTTCATAAGTGAAAAGTGCAAGAGAAAAAACTGTTAGCATAGAACTTATGGTTACATATAGCAATTTTAACTGTAAAATGACGAGACCTCAATGCCACTCTAGTAGTAATGTGATATACCACCACAAAGTGCACTTTCTATTCTACCTGAATACCAACAAGAAATGAACATAGCCAATGACATTTTCATACAAATAGTTCCTTTTCCCTATAAAAAAATAAATAATGCTCTCTCTAGGCCATAATAGTTGTTACATTTAATATATAAACTATGTATACAAATGTAACACTTATTATGGGACAAAGTAGCATTTTTCTATCATGGATTATATACATTGACGGCTTCACCACCAGGCATAAAAAATGCAAAACAGCCTCAGTGTAAATTTCATGAATACATTTCCCTTCTATTAAACAGACATAATATAAATCCTATATTCAACAAAAAATATAAATACATTAGGAAGTTTTTAAAATATTGTAGTTTTTCAGTGTGAGACAAAAATAAAACAAAACAGACATCAATGACTTTGCAAAAAAGTATAAGCTTAAAATTTATTTTTTAGAGAATTCATCCATTTTTATGAATAATATATATTTGAGAATCATTTTAATTTTTTCAAATCTGATGATAATCAGATACTTTTAATTAATCTAGTTACTAATTATATTTTCCCAATTCTGTGAGTAAACTCTTGCCTTTTCTCCCAAGTTTATAGTTCTACAGAAAAATTACTTCAAGACTGAAACTTAGCATTCTCTTTAAGTTCTCAATCTTAATAATCATACAAATTTGTTTCTACAGTAATTTTCTAAAAAATTATTTCTATATAATTTCCTGTTTCAACAAATCCAAACAACATATTGCTTTCAAGTCAAACTCTCTTTATCCTGACTATAGCTACAAACATTCCTACCTATAATATACATCCATTCTACAATTATGCTGTGGGAATAGAATGAAAGAATTATGCAAGGTACTGAGAAAATTTTCACTCTTTTGCAATCCTTCACATAAGCAGCATAAAAAAATTATTTATCATTTTATATCTTTAAATGTTTTAATTTTATAAATGTCCTTTACTTAAAATAATCATTCTGGCCAATGGTGCCCTGGTTATTGGGTATTCAATGATATTGTGCAGGCTTCAGGAAAGTGTTTCTTAATTGATGTGCCAGATTGGCAAGCAGAGATTATGAAAGAAGCAATTGTACAGTATATTCAGCCTGGAAGCCATATTGTTTCAGATAGTCGGGCTGCTTCTGCTGAATAAATTGACCATGGGATATACTCTCATGATGTTGTTATTCATCAGCAACATTTTGTGGATCCTGATTATCATACTATTCTTACTCAAGACGTGAAAAATCTTTGAATCCGCATGAAGTATAAACTATGTCAACAGTTTGGAACTTCTGAGTTGTTGTTCATGTTGTATCTTCACAAAGACCAGTTCAAGAACAGTCCTGTGTTTACAGCATTTATTTGCTGCATACTCCACCATAATAATATTGTAATAATATTTAATTGTAATAAATGTATATAACTTGGTTTTTTTGATTTTATGACGTTCAGAAAATAGAAGTTTATTTAATACTGCTTAAGTGAAAGATTACCTTCAGTTTTATTTTATGAATAAAACAAATTGTTTTCTTTGGCAAAAAAAAAATGTTAACATGAACTATCCTCTTTGAATTATTGGATTTCCTTGTAACTAACGACACTATCAGCTTACAATGTGAAACCAAAAAAGACATCTTCAAAACTACATTGTTTTTTTTTTTTAATTTTAATCAAAAAAATTTCCTGGCAAAATGGATTTTACAAATACATAATTGTATTACAAGGCAATTAATAGACAACAATGCTTTGCAAACATGTATAATTTAGTAATGTTAATCTTTTAAGAATATTTGAAATTAAAATAATAAAAATTGTAATTAAGGAAAAAAATTTTTTTGTTTTTGTTCTTTTTTTTCTTTTTTTAAAAGAAAAGATATTTGTTGACTCATAATTCCAAATTTATTCACATTTACAAAATACCCAAAGAGGATCAAAACTCATTAGCAATGTCTTTCAAAATAAGCATGCAAACAATTATTTGATGACAGATGTTTTATACTAATTCTCCTGTAATGTTATATCTATGTAAAACAAATATCTGACTGATTTTACTAAAAAAAAATCCAATGCCACCAAAAATTTGTCAATTTTTTTCTTATTTGAATTAAGAAAAGTTTTCTTACAGTCTTGTCTACATTTACCACGATGAGAAGCAGACAAGTCGAAGTGTAACATCTTAGAAGAATTAAAATCTAAAAGATAAATAAACTTTAAAAGACATTTGTAGCTAATTAATAATTAAAATATCAAAAACAACTGTGGTTTATTGTTTTCACAAATCAAATATTAATGATTAACAAATATGTTTCAATCTGTGACAAAGTGTAGCCTTTGCCAGTACAGAAATTGGGATTGTCAGGCCAAGTTCAAATTCCAGCCTAAACTGTTGCATTTGCTTTTGCATAAATACTCTTAAAAAAGGTATGATTACATCTTTTCTCCCCCACCAGGTACAT